AATTATAAAAAAAAAATATAAAAAAAAAAAAAAAAAAAAAAAAAAAAAAAAAAAAATATATATATATATATATATATATATATATATATATATATATATATATATATATATATATATATATATATATCACAACACTCACCCAATTAAGATCAATACGTATGTAACAGTGATCCATATAGGATCAATATGTACACAAGACAGCATTCAGAACAGATGATCTCTGGACCAACTTATCCACCAACTAAATATGACCAACCCCACTTAAAACAGATGCTGCTAATTCCCTGATGGTCTCCCCACCTCTACACATGCAATTAAACAGATTTTATATATTGACTCCGAGGTTTAAGTGCTATAGGCCCCTGAAGCCACAGCACAGGTAGTAATGTAGACATCTTAATTGTCTGGCATGCCCTCTTGCAAAGTAACATGAACAACATCATGGACCACAAGGTTTTCCCAAATTTACCCAAGTACCTTAGGAGGGGGTGTGCCAGACATTTACCGCTTACACCTAATGCAATTTAGCGAGAATCCCCCGAGGAGTTGGATCAATCCAGCTAGTATGATAGGGTTATGGGAACGATCCCTTCTTTTGGTTTCAGTAAGATCTGATGTGAACACAGCCTGAACACAACTCACAGCACGTTCTCCACCAGGAAGTCCTGTTCGGCTCTACTGTGGATTGATGCCAGGTGTGCACCATGTTCAATGCAATTGTCAAATGCCTGTAACCAGGAGTAGTTGGCCTCCACTCGCTTGTAGCACTGACCATTAAAGTACATCCAGCCAAGATCACAACTTACTGGACATGAAAAACAAATGCAATATATATAGTCTAAATAGAGAATTAAGCTAGTAATTAAAATTAAGATACTGTAACACATCCCTAATTAAGATAAGAAAAATATAGTATGGAGACTTCAACACTGACAGCATAATCATTAATATAATAAATGATTTTCTTATATGTAGAGTATATTAATTTTATACATAATTACCAGTTGTAACAATGAAATCTCCTCTGCAACCGTTGGACACCCACATACTTCCTGTGTGTATGTTATAGTCTATGCCAAATGTGCTGCTCTCCACACACTCACTATTGGATAACTGCCTGTGCAGTGACACAGACAGTATTGCACCTTGGTCAACAACTGAACAAGTTTGGTGTTGTTTGTTTTCACTGGCACAATTTATCGGCACTAGAACAAGAAGAGAAAAGTCTGTAAGAATTTAAAGAGCAAAGGGGAAATGATATATCTATGCCACAGCCCTTTTTTGGAGAAATAACATTTTGCAGTTGTAGGAAAAATGTGATGTCCTTGTTGCATTACTTAGAGAGATCAAGGTACACAACCATGTTTATCTACATAAAAAGTCTTTAAGTTATCAATTCAAAATATTCAATGAATGACACATAGTGATACTTGCTTAAAAATTAATATATTATACAAGTTATGAAATAAACACATGTAACAAAGTCTTATACATTTTCTTGCGGCATAGAATGCAAAAGTCCCCAGTGTTATCATAATTTGCTAGTATCTTACCTTCGTTTCGCTGAGCCTTGGCGACAGCATACGGGCGCAGAACACTACAGATGACCGCCAGGACAAGAAGAGCGTGTTTTTGGTTTTTCATTACGAAGAGAATAGTAAACTGTCTACGCTCTTATGACAAAGTTCGCACCAATACAAAAGTTGCTTTTATACTATCCACCATGATATTTTGGACTTCGCATTTCGTGGTAAAAGAAAAATTAAAAGAAATCAAGCGACGAAATAGCAATTATTTAAGCAAGCAACTCTTGAACTGTATAAAGCCATCCAGTCGTCTTCAGGTGTAACTCCAATGTAAATTCAAACTCTGAAGTAGTATGATATCCTCTGATGAAATGGGCCGAATTCTATAAAACGCTCCAGAATGCGGAAGACAATAAAACGTAACGTAACAAGGCACGCGCAGCTTGTTCATCCCGCAAAATAAACGTCCAAACTGAAGGTGGCGCTTTTTTTCAGGACAAGTCGTCCGTGCTTCAAACTGTCGATCCTTTTTGTCTGAACTATAAAATTTTAATTTTTTATTATAAATATTTTAACGATCCTAATAATTTTCAAAAATTTAATTATACACGATAAGAAAGAATCGTGGATGCTCCATTTGTCACAATATATTCATTTAATTTAATAATATATTAACCGGGTAAAATGTTTATTTCTCATATTTCCAAATTAACAGGCCATGTTCCAATGGCGGACTTAGAGGGGGTCTGGGGGTCTTGCCCCCATCCCTCCCTTCAGTTTCTGGAAAAAAAAACACTTATATTCCCCTCTAGAAATTATAATTTTGACTAGCAAAGGGCACCGTTTGACCTTCAAATCACCAAAATAATTTGGGGACCTTCAGCGGGCCCCAAACCACCACCCCACTTCAAATAATCCTGGTTCCACCCGTGTTCCGAAATTAAAATAATAAACTTATAAACATATTTTGCATGAAAATGACATTTATAATAACCTAAGTTTTTAAAGTACTTTTTTTTATTTTTCTCACAATTCAATATTTATATCCATGTTTTCAACTGAAAATAAGACAATTCCTTAAAATTCACATTGATTATTGATATTTAATTTTTTTTCCATCTCATTGATCACAGTTAAGACATCAACATATAAAACATGTTGACAGAAAAATTACACATGACAGAGGAAAAGACAAAGGAGTATATTACCTTACGTAGTGCCCTAGATCATTGCCAATTATGGGACAGATTTCTGCACAATTTCCTAAATATACCAACCCACAAAATAAATTAATTTTGATATTTTTATGAAAATTAAAAAGTAATATTTTCCATTGGCATGCTATTGTTCATTAATTGTTATAAGAAAACATTTCAACCACTTTAAATCCTTAGTGCTTACATTTGACAGAGACAGACATATTTCCACTCTAGAACAAAATTTGTTGTTATATAAAAATCAATCTATGATTAGATGAAGAAAAAAATAGCTATTTCAAGTCACAACTCTGAAAACTGACTGAAATATTGCATAAAATATATTGCAATACAGGAACTGGGAGGGTTCCAAAGTCCAAAAGATTATATGCTCAAATTCCATTGCTCCCAAGGTTCATTGCTCTGATGAAAAAGAAAAAGTTTTGCAAGGAAAAAAAAGGGAATTAGTTCTAAGTTTTATGGGCATGAAATATGGATGTTCAGTGGTCTATAGATTTAAATGGAACAGTTGTGCAATGTCTCCATCTTACTTTGCGAATTTTTTTGTTTTAAGGATATAGCATGTGGAAACTGGTCCCATTTTAAAACAGCATTTGCCACTGAAATGCAGAAAATTGGCCTACTGAACAAACATCAAGTTAAGGACCAACAAACACTACAACTAAAAGGACCCTTGGAATACAAAATGCCCCTTAGAAATTTTACAAATAGAAAGGCTCTTCTGATAGTCACAATTTAAAATATTTCCAACAGTAGTCACAAAACATTTTTTATATTTTCTAAAGTGCATGTGGAACAAAAACAAAAAAACTTTTAAAAGTTATTCTTTGAAATAAGGTGCACATACACTTGGTTTAACATGAATATCAACTTAATTTTGAAACAGCAAATCTATCTGCCCCTTAGCTATGACCAACTGATATTTGACCCAAAAACACAAGTTCATTCTACATGTTTTGGACATTGACAAAAATGACTCATTATAACAAAAGAGAGATTGAAAACTAAATGTTCACTCAGAACTTGGTGGCTGCCATCGAAAACTTCGGCTCCCTGATTCAAGCCTCAATGTCCTTTGAGTAATTATGTCATTTTCCATGGCTGTCATAGTGTCTTCTGCATACATCACAGCGCCCTCTACTGTGCTGTTGGCAGCCATCTTTAAACTGTTGTTCTGAGCAGCACCATTGCTTATATTATAGTCACTCTGCATTTGCAGATGAGTATCACAGTTTTGAGGAATTTGGAAATTTTGAAATGCCCTTTTTGTCTGTGATTCACTGTCCTCACTCACTTGAGCACTAAAATTGCTGTTCGGTGGGATATTATTGTCAACTGCAACCATCCCAACATTGCCATTTTGTTTAATTTTTGTGTCATCTGCATTCACAACTGTTTGTCCACTAAGTGATTTTCTATTTCCCACACCAGATGTCTCCACAAGCTGACTTGCTTCTTTTTCACAAGAGGCTCCAGAGTGGCTAGTGATCTCACAAGGCTCATCATTCGACAGTCGTTTCTGCCACTGTTTGAATTCAGACTCGTATTCTGAATGCGGATTCTCGTCATTTGATGACCCAGCATCTATGTCGTCTAACTTCCCAGTGGCTAATGTTGTAGGAAGAATGCCAGAACCCCTCAACTCCAAATGTGATACATCCTTTAAATCAGATTCAGGGTCTGACCTAGAAACTTCATCATCTCTACTCACTTCTTGACTTGAGCTTTCATCTAATACTCTTTTGTTTCTAGCTGCCTGACTGCCCGAAACTCGCAAGTTATCTTGACCCGGAATCACCGCCCTATTTACTCCCAGCCTATCAGGGGAGAGTGAATGTGACCTTTGACCTTTGAGGTCACTAAAAACGACACTATGCTGTCGGGACACAGACTGTTGCATGTCTTTTCTGGGAACTTCCCTGCCACCGTGTTTTCCTTTTTCCTCAGCCAAAATGTCCTCAAATTCCTGGGTGTAAGCAAAGTTTACGCTGGAGTCCCTGGTAGATCCCATGGAAGAAAAACTCTGCACCGAGCCCTGCCGGCTGACAAGACGAGGGTCCATAGGAATCCTGAGTTTCTGAGACATATCAATAGTGCCTGGTTGGTCTCTGTAATACACAAAATATATTTTAATCAAATTCCAATAATAATTATTATATAAATGTAATCATCTTCAATATTTATATTTATGTCTATATGTCCAGTTACTGTGCATCCTGCCTAAACCTCCTTCTGTGTGAAAGAGAATATATGTAAGTATATATTATTATTATATCAATGCAGATGCCTGAGGAAGCCCAGTTTATCTAAAAGGCTTGGTATAACCTGCACTTTCCTTCAAAATGCACTACCAACTTTCCAAGGCCACCACGACGTTCACTAAGAGCTTAATATTCTATGGAAAAATAGCTTTCATATCTGTCATGTTTTTAAAGAATAAAAAAAAGACAAATAAATACTACAAATACCATTCTTATGCAGACTCTATAAACCCACTGGGCTAAAATCTCTGGATACTCACAATTTCACCCCCAGCCTGAGCTCTAGCAGGCTCTGTAAGTTTGGCAATGTTAATCTGAGATCTGTTGTTCCCAACCCACAGTAGTAACGCAGCTGAAACAAAATAGTTGTTTTTTTTATTATCTTTTATTTCTTTTTTTTTTCAAATTATGCACTTATAAATTCTTAGCAGCTGGGCTGGAAGTTTGACTTTTTTAAATTAAATATTTAGTGACTGCAAAACAAAACAAAAAATGACTAAGTCTGACAAAACATTCCATATAATTTAAAGAATTTAAAGAAAAATATATTTATTTTACAATCTGCATGTATTTATTCAAAGTAAAATGAAATAGTAGGGGAAATATCACCAACCTGGGCAATGTTTTTGTTTAACAAATACACAGCGTAGTTAAACTGAAATTTGTCTTTACCCTTCCCGTACAGTGGAAAGCTGAAATGAAAAAATATATATAATCAATTAAATTAAATGAATTCTGGACAAATAAAAAGCAGGAAACTATCAAGCAGTTTGACAGAAATATGGACATTAGGACCTCATTCTAAAGCTCTGACAATGATGAAAGATTCAGATTAAATAAATGAATAAAATAATATTTTACAAAATGATATGGACTTTGACAAAAATATTTTCATGATGGGGATTTCTTTGATTCAGTATTCTCTTCATCTCACTTATCCAAGGGCCTGTTTGTTTGTCACATTATTTCCCATTTCAGCTATTTAACAAATACAAACACCACGATACTAAATCACTGTATAAAACTCACTCTCTCTCTTTATCAGGTAACTTAGGAGTGATATGATCTCGTATCTTGGACTTGGAGCAGCGGTGATCTATGGCGTATCGAAGTGGAATGTCCAGAAACTGAGCTATCATCTGAACCATGTGGGCAGTAGCGCCCAGCGCCACAGCGATCATGGTCTCATCTTGACCTGAACAGAAAAAGTTTTATATTATTTTTCCCTGTGAAATTTGCACGTAGGAATTTTTTCAGAGTTGAGAAGTTAGCAGTCACAAGAAACATACTGATTTTCAATTATAAATATGAATAAATTTAAAATTGTGTAGACTAAAGAATATCACTGCTTAAACACTGTTTAACTGTTTTAATATTTTCTTTAGACATTGCAGGTCATGTATTAAAGCTGCCGTACCTTGGAAATCCTCTGAATTTGGAAGTCTAACCTTTCCTATTGTGAAAATTCCATTTTTTTCCTAGAAAAACCAAATTAAATCATGCAAAACGGAAACTTTAAAAAATTATTTTATGAGATTCCAATTCCTATTACAATCAACCAATGAGAGAAAATTATGTCAGAACTTTTCAATAAATAAAGAAAGAAAGAAAGATCCTCACTCAAACAATATTACGTATCACAAGCATCAGTTTTAACTTCTATAATACAGTAACCCTGTAAAGGATTTTAGCAGCTGCTTTATGCATAAAAAAATTTAAATGATAAAACTTCCTTCAAATGATAACTAAACTCAAGAGTTATATTTTAGTGTCTCATGAGACACCATCTTCAGGGAAATTAAATTACCATAACAATAAGACAGTAACTCTCTACTAATAATAACCCTGCATCAAATAAGAACTAAAAGAGCTTCACCTTACCTCTCTCAGTGGATAAATATAAAAAGCTAAATCCGCTATCAACTGTTTCTTCCTCATAATCAACTGTGCATTGGCTTTAAGGTACTGTTCCCTGAAATCATCATATCAAAATGATTTATAGACTGATGTAGATGTTTCATAAAAATTTGTGTTCACAAATATTATGTAAATTATGATCAAGAAGAAATTGGTGTAAATATATATGCCGTTAAACAAAGATATTGACTTGGAGGGCACAGGTATGTGCTTTAAGTGGTAGGAAGACAGCAAAGAGTTTCTTTTATAATATTCGATGTGGGCAAAATATTAGGGATTAAGGTGGAGGTGGGAAAATCAAGCATTTTCTGAGACAAACTAAAAGTTTTGTTCTTTTTTTCAATTAATTACAATTATTACAGTTCTTGTGAATGCAGCCTTATGCTGGTTAAAAAAAAGTTACCTCATTTCAAAGTATATCTTCCTTTTTTCTTTTAGTCTGTCTTTGTCATTTTTCATAGCCTCAAATTTAGTTTGCACTGATACATCTGGAAATTCAATAAGATACAATTTTAAAATATTCTTTGAAACTGTAGTGTTAGTAATTCTTTGCTAGCTGATAAACTTCCCATTTTCAGTGAGAAGCAAAGTATCAATATTCTCATTACTCACAAAACCAGTGTAAGTCAAATGGATTTTTTTCCATTCCTGAAAACCTATTTAAAACTATTTGACACGGGTCATGAAATATGAGCATCTCCATCTGTATATTAACGAAAATAACACTTTGGAATAACTTGAACAGATTACACTGTGATGAAACAGTTTACATGTTTTTTAATGTAATTTTTTTGTCTTCAGCTTTACATACTAGAAATAGAAATTGTTGCTTTGAACACAGTAATAAATAATAATAAAATCTGTATCTCTGTATCCTTACCTCTTTGGTGATTGTGTGTCTGTAGTCTCTCATACGTTTCTTTCTCGGCTTGCAGCTGCATGGTACGTGACTCAAGCTCTGACCTCATCTGATTCACATGAAGAATCAGGACTTCCCGTTCTGACAGCTGAAAATACACACAAAATAAGGAAAGAATAATAAGGGCAATTTCTTACATTTTAATTTTATACAGACACTGGTTATTCTGTGGTCTCGCACTCTGGGCCTGTACAAATTACGTGCAGCTTCAGATCAGTTATTTTTCATTTGCCACTGTCATAATAAGGCAGTGAGAGTCATCACACCATTATCAAAATTCCACTATTACTTACCCTAACTCTCTCATCTTATTTAATTTATAATAAGTAATTTCCATTTTTAATCATACTTTTACCTTCTGGTTTAAGTACAATATTATTATAAATAATAGTTTTACAGTTGATATCACATAAAGAGAAGTAAAGTCCAATATGTCTGCATATCAAGACAAGACCTAGTATCACTAGTAGGTATGTGTTAAGGAATCATTGATTTCAATCCCTTTTTTTGTTCAGAAACTTTCAAGTTTCATTAATACCTTTGTTTTGATCAGAACCCCTCACCTTCTTGGACCTGGTTAGTGAAGACACCAGCGTGTCCTCTATACAGCCCCTCACTTTCTTCACTGAGGCCTGGGTCTGCTTGATAGCACGCAGTATGGTGACTATTCTGAATGGCACAGAAAATAATGTACATTAAATCCATAAATACAGGCATAATTTTGAGCTTTAAAAAACAGGAGAAAATGGCTCAGTGGGGTGGGGTTGGGGGTGGGGGGTTGGGGGTGGGGGGTGGGGGCTCAGGGCAGAAAACTACCAAGATATTAAAAAAAAAAAAAGCACAAACTTTATTCAAAATCATAGAGTTCCAAACTATCTGCTTAAATCTGTAAGTTTGGATCATATTATGATATGAACCGTACATTATCAACAAATATATACAGAAAAGCAGAATATCAGTCATATTAACTAAAGCTTTGGTATTATAATTATAATTCTAGAAAACAAAACATGACCGCACACAGCTCTAGCTAGCTAGTCTTAGACGAAATAGGTTCAAGTGTTTAGGTTGTATACAAGGCATGAGTTAGAGCTATGATCTTACCTGGACAAAGAACTAATAGTATAGGAAGACCTTACACTGGAATGGTCTACTTTCATAAACTCTGAGGTCAAAGATTGTTGCTTGGGCTGAAAAAATGGAAAAATAATAAAAAATAATTTAGAAATACATACATGTATAATCTATTAATACAAATAAAGTAAAATTCACTTAGTCAGTTGCTTTTTTTTTGCTTTCTAACTGCCTCTAAGACCATATTTGATAAATTTGCATAACAAACACCTTGTAAATTATGTACTCATTTCTAATTTTAAAACTGACACCTGTAAATTTATCATTTTTCCAAATCCAAGACAGATATGAAGATAAGGATTGCTTTATTCTCTAACATAGACCAAGTGCATTTTATTTTAACCTTCTGAAGTTCTTCTGCAGGGCCAAAGTAAGCATCAAACATCCCAAACACCAGAGTGTTTCCCTTATACTTCCTACCATCTTTCTGGATCTGAACAAAAAAGTATAAATATGAACTGAAGTTATCTTAATCAGCAAACTTGCTAAACAGTGAAATTATGATCATTTCTAACAGCTACAAATTGGATTTATTTATATTATCATTCAATCATTTATTTATTTGTTTGTTTATTTGTAACCTTTTTTAGGATTTACCAGCAAAGGAAACATTTAACTAGACTGATATAACTAAAAATAATTATGATAAACATGCTTTATTTTAAACTTTGATATTGTACATTCAATCTAGAGCTTACCTTGTCAGCTATGTAGACAAGTCCAGAAAAGTGGACTTCCCACTGGAGAAGGACATGAGGGGATTTCCCCTCTTCTGAAATCCACACCTTCACGATAACAGCTAGCAGCAGTGTTCAGGAAAATATGATCCATTTTTTGAAAATTTTAATTTTAAAACACATTAGAGTTTAAATGCTGGATTCAACATATGTGCTTTATGTTAAAATGGAAGAGGTTCTTAATAAGCAAATATATGTAAGTACTTTTAACAAAATCAAAACAATGATAATACATTTGAAGAAAAATTTCAATAACACTTCCCAGTATACTCTACTCAAGATCTTCTATGAGAATTAAGGCCAGGTTAAAATATTGTCCAGGATCAACTTGGCAAACAGTAAAACAAGTTTGTTCTGCACTGCATCACTACCCCACTGTTTAGGACTTAGTGTAAGGATACAAGTAGAAGTGGTGTCCACCTCCTCAGTTAGGTGTGTCAGCAAGAACCCACGCCAGCTTGGATTCTGAAATTAAACGACAAAACTCTATGTTAATGACAGACAAAGTACTAGTACTTGCATGGCCAAAAATACATTAACCATATTAATAGACAACTGTGACTTAAATATACAGTTCTTCTTACAAGTTAGGAGTCAGAGATTATGCTAAATGCTTGTAATCTCAGACTCTCAAAGTAACACTTCAAATTTTTTTATTATAAAATTTAGTTTTCAATCTCATTCTCATAATAACTTTAAGTATGAAAGTGGCCCTTAAAAAAATAATTGGGAAATTGCAAATACCAAAGGCTCCACAGGCATAGATACGACACCCAACTATCCAGACTTCCAGATCATTTGGGAAGAACGTCATCTCAGTGTATGAGCTAATATCTTGACATTTACTTACCAATGAACCTCGAATTTTCTCACTGGTGTAGAAAGCTGCAAAACAGTTAAAATGCAAAATTAATTTTAAATCTAAACACATGTGAATGACTATTCTAACTTATATAAAGGCTACAACGGACAAACAAAGTGTCTTGAAAAGTTATGCAATATAATAATCAATTTTCTGAAAGCAAAAATGTTACAACATTAAAATAATACCATAAGTGTAAAAGCTTTGAAAATTCTGTTCTAGAAGGGCAACTAGCCTGCATATTTAGGCACATAAAGTCTTCAGATTAATTTTGATTGAAAGAATCAAGCAATATGCCTGACCTACATATACTGTATGTAATTCATTTTAATAACTATTTAAAAAGTGTTTCAATGTGACAATCAGCTCTCCTCACCCGGTTCCTGGGTCTTAGTATGCAAGGTGAAGTATGTCTGTAGAGAAGCCACATCTAGCTCAGATACATTGGGAACAATTAAATTTCTTGCAGCTATACTCTTCAGATGCCGTAATCTTCTCTGTAAGGAAAAAGTAAGTGCAACAGCTGAATTGAAATCTTTGCGTGGAAATCCAACTCAACGTCTCAAAAGGTTACATGTGTAGCGATTTGGGGTGAGTCCAGAAAAATCACCGACCAGACCAGGAATCGAACCCGGGACCCCTCGCTTACAGGGCGAGTGCTCTTACCTACTGAGCTACCCGGCCGGTTCTACCTGCCCCTGGCACTACACATGTAAATTCTGGACATACAAGGCTGTTTTAGCAGATCAGATGGGTCCAATTGCTGCTTATAACGATGCATGCTACCCCTTCCCTCGTAAATGGACAAATTTAGAATTAACGTTAGACTGATAATTACTGTCATTGTTTTGTTTTGGTTCATTGATGCTTCACTATTTATACTGGAATCCTTACAAGTACAAGATAGTTCTGTCTGTAAAATGACACCCCCAAAAACATTACTATTGAGCAGTATGAACGTATGTAATGTTAAAATGTTAATCATAATATCTAGGGGAAGTAACGAAGGGGAGGGGGGGGGTAAAGGGTAGGAAAGTGCTGCACCCGTAAACGAAATCCTTGCGTATCCTATTCNAGGTGACAGCCGAGCGTGGAAGAGACTATTAAAAGATTAGGCAGTTTTCAGCTTGAGCGGCTTCAATGTCTAGCTGCTAAAAGATTATTGATTGCCCCCTAACAGCTTCAGTAGGCGTGACAGGCATCTACGCCGCTTTTGTTGATTGTAATTTAGCGAGAACCCCCTTGGAGATAGATTGATCCACAGTTAGTACGATAGGGTCTGTGAATGGTCCCTAAAACTGACACTTGCCTAATATTCAGGCAAAAAATTACTGACCTTTCAAAACATTGATCACATCGTTTGTACCTTTCATTCTGAGATAAAACATGTACAAACGGATATGAAGACATCACAATATCACCCCTTTTGTACTGCATAATGTTACAAATCGCATCTAATCTCAGTTGATAACGTTTTCCGCGAGTACTTCATGGGCGCAGACATATTGTTGCATGACGTCATTTCCGTTCCGACTAAAGACAATTCCTTGCATTGAATATGCTATTGTTGATATTTATAACAGCATGTCAATACAAAGCAATTGGTAGAAAAGACCATGGTCAACATGCTATAGACATTGTATTACTAATTACGTAGGTAAAAAAAAAACAGTTAAATTACATTTTAAACTGATAATTTGGCGTATAATATATAGGCCTATATCAAACCCTTTTATTTCTTGACAAAGTGTACTTGTAAGATACAGCTATACTTAGACTCTACAAAAGAGGATAATTGATAGGACTGGCCGTTACGTAAGTTCTCTTTTTAAAACAGGCTCAGTCTGATAAAAAATTTATCAAGGGCCAACAGGGGTTTCTGCAGGATTTGGGGCACAGGGAGTCCAAAATGTTAATCTGCATTTGGGACTCTTATATTTACATGGAGTCCAACCAAGTCCGTTGGTGGGGACGGGGGTGGAGGGGGTGGAATGTAATTTAATTTAACTATTGTCAAAATATTAACCTTATTATTTTTTTGTTTTTGTTTTTATATTGATCTTACCTTTAGGATCACTTAGACAAACAATTCTTCTGCTTGGTTACTTTTGATAAGATAAAAACAACGGACCTATATATTGAGAATAAATATATTTGTGCAATACATGTCAGAAGTTAATTACTAGCTTCAGATTTTAGCGCTCTCTTTCGGCGTACTCACTGTTTCACAGCGAGAGAAATCACAGTGCGCGATGATTGACGTTTGTTTATATAACCTGTCAATCAAGCTGTTATTACTTGACAGCAACTATCAAAACTAATGAATTTGATTGACATCTTGTCAATCAAAGGATATTGGAGTTTTACAGGAGAAGAGTGTATTTTAATTAAAATTGTGTTCGACGTTTGTTAAAAAATCTGTCATATATATAGTCGAGTACGTTTGACAGCTTCTATCAATTAGCCTGTTTGAATTTGATTCATGCCTGTCTATAACAATACATGTCGTAACATTCTGGAGGTAGGGGGCATTGTATTTTCTTTTTTTGAAGCGCGTTAAAAAACGTCGGGTTCTTTATTTCAACCGAGAAACTGAAATTTAACAACGTGAAAGAGTTCCAGGTTCTTTCACAGGCATTTTTTAATTGTACTAAAAATCAGTTGTCATTCTTTTTCTGGATATGATGTAAAACGACTATACATGAATTAACGTTGTTGTCGATGTTTGTTGCTCCATAATCCTTTCTTTGGTGCTCGTACGAAATCGGAACTTCGTATACGAACTGAACATGTTACTTTAATCATACTCGTCTTCTTTTACACCCAATGAATATTTTTTGATCATTTTTAAAAAACGAATGGTATAAAAAGTAAAACCTTGTCATTTTTTTCATGATCTACGGAGAGAAAAAAAATGCCGAGATAATGATGTTAGTGGCCAGGTAAAATTAAAAAGTACCGGTTTTGTTCGTTCCTTATTAAGGGCCAGGGCATTAAGTAGTCCGTCGCTGTATACTGACAGGAGCGTGCGTGAAAAACTGTTGTTTTAAATGAACTACACAAAACTGCCAAATTAAAATTAAAAAAAATTTTACGCAATGCGTTAACAATCTTTCGAGCTTTAATCTGCCATATATTGTTAGTACTTCATAAGTATAAAAAACTCCAGATTTCAATAACGTGTGAAAATTAATAAACTAATAGTGGAATAAGTCGGGCTGACTTAATCAAAGACTTGAAATTCTTGGTTTAATTTATGAAAGCTGTTCGTTCAATATTTTATACTGTATTTCATCGGATATTATCTGTTTATTATATATAAAATGGTTGCTGCGCCGTATAAGAATTAATATTTGATCGAATATTTACTTGAAAACATACATTTTTATCATACTTATTATTATTATAACGACGACGAGGTTCTGGAATCTTCAATCGTTTATTCACCACTTAATTTTCATACAAATTTACCCATATTTATACTCTAATTCTCCGTACTGATCACGCGTGTAATTATGTTCTTTTTATTGTTTATGGCGTGATTTCCAGAAACTTTCCATTGTCATGTTTATTTTACCATAGAACATTCCCTTATTAGGTAATGTCTAAGAACCTTGTTTTCAACTAAACTCATCCAAAATACTATTTGCATTACTCATACTTGAATCATGTCCAAAATTTAGTTATCATGTGATAAACAGTTGATCAAAATTAAAATATGTTATGAAATTAACCAATCACATTAAATGTTATTTACATTATTTTATTCTATTTTTAAGTAAAAACAAAATTAATTCAGCATTAACAACAGCATCTTTGCTTTGCCTCACATTCTATGAATCGTTTGTCCGAAGGCGCATATAATAATGTAATAGATTTCCTGGTATGCTTTTTGCAGTTAATATTCTACGTGCAGCATATTAATCTTTCATACCGCAAGTGGCACTAAAAATGAAGCTTTTTTCTCTCGGTAATTTTTTTCAACTAATCTATCATAGAAAAACATCTTTAACTTGTTTCTATAACCCAGATTAGGTAAAAATCTTCCGTAGTTTTGAGCTCAGGTCGAGAAAAGTCGGTTTGTCAGCAGATAAGTCAAAGGCGTTCAAACAGAGGAACCGGGGGCGTTAGGCTAGTCTGGACATTTCTCTCTTTTAGTGCGTAAACAAAAGAAGCGCACTCCAAAAATTGTGTACAAGGCAACTTCATATCTTGGCTTCCTTTGTCCCAAATTTGCCATGAAAAATACCACAGATACTGAGCTTACTTAAGCCCCGATTTAAGGGTCATTCACAAGTAAACTCAGTACCGAAATGCCGTATAGTTCCATTCTTATTGTTCAACCTCTCTCTCTCTCTCTCTCTTTTAATCTATTTTAATCTCTATATAAGAATGATTCAGAATTTACACGATGGGGAATCAGAAATTGATACAGGGTTGATAGAAAAAGCCGTCCCATTTTCTATAGAATTGTAATGGTAGACAGTAACGCTTCTTCTCATACGAGGCAGTCTTCCATTTTGAATAACAATATTTGGTTTACATGACAAAATCACAACATCAATGGTTTAATTCAAAATATATTGGGGGATGGCCCCCTCCTCCCACACTACGGCTGTCGGAGCGTGGGCTATAAAAAGAATGTTTTTTTTAAGCCCCTGCCCACTTTTTTCACTTCAACACAGGAAGTGACGGGCTGATTCTTCTAATTCTTCTTTTTTTTTTGTGGGAGCACAAACTGGTCGAAAGTTAACACTGTTTGAGACCTTTCCTGCCGTGCGAAAGCACAACCAGTACTACGCATGAATTTTGTGCTAGCCGTCAGAATGAGGCTGAGACTGCAGCACAGGCAAAACACTGCAGGCTAAGCAGTGGCGAGTTTAGGGGATGTCAGCGGGGTCCTGCCCCCTCCCCTTCGGTTTCTGAAAAATAAATCACAGCTTAATCAAAGTTCTAGATCGTAGCAAATGGCACAAATACCAAAATTTTTGGGAGCCCTTCAGCCGCGAACCCCACGTCAAGGGGGGTGGAGGAGGGGCCGAGGGTCGGCTCCGCATCCGAGGCCTGTCATTCCTAAAAAACCGACCCCCCTTCAAATAATCCTGGATCCGCCCCTGTGATTATAGCAAATTCTGCTTTACAATCATTATTGCCTGAAGTTTTTCGCCCCTGCCCCCCCCCCCCCCCCCCCCCCCCCCCCCCCCACCCCCCCCACCCC